ATGACCAGCAGATGACCCCTATTGATATTGGGGTTAGAGTCAAAGGCAAGGGTCACATTGAATTGTAGGTAAAAATGCTTTCCAATAAATAACTTAAGAACCCTTAGGCCTAGGAACTTCAACTTGGTATGGTGATTGGTCATGACCAGCAGAATGACCTTTTGATTTTTGGGGTCAAGGGGTCAAAGGTCAAGGTCACATTGACCTTGTAGATAAAAACGGTTTCCGATCAATTAACTAAAAAACGCTTAGGCCTAGGAACTTTCAAACTTTGTATGATGATTTGGTCGTGACCAGCAAATGACCCTATTGAGTTTTGGGTCAAGGGGTCAAAGGTCAAGGTCACATTGACCTTGTAAGTAAAAACGGTTTCTGATCAATAACTTAAGAATGCTTAGGCCTAGGAACTTCAAACTTGGCATGGTGATTTGTCATGACCAGCAGATTACCCCTTTGATTTTGGGATCAAGGGTCAAAGGTCAAGGTCACATTGACATTGTTAGTAAAAATGGTTTCTGATCAATAACTAAAGAACGCTTCGGGCCTAGGAACTTCAAACTTGGCATGGTGATTGGTCATGAGCAGGCAGATGACCCCTAATTGATTTTGGGGTCAAAGGTCAAGGTCACATTGACCTTGTATGTTAAAAACGGTTTTCCGATCAATAACTAAAGAAACCCTTAGGGCCTAGGAACTTCAAACTTGGTATGGTGATTGGTCATGATCAGCAGATGACCTATTGATTTTTGGGGTCAAATGGTCAAAGGTCAAGGTCACACTGACTTTGTAGGTAAAAACGGTTTCCGATCAATTAACTAAAAACGCTTAGGCCTAGGAACTTCAAACTTTGTATGATGATTGGTCGTGACCAGCAGATGACCCCTATTGAGTTTTGGGTCAAGGGGTCAAAGGTTAAGGTCATGACCAGTAGATACTTGATAACCCTTATTAATTGTTTGATCACTGGGTCAGAAGTCATGCATATTAGCCTTATCACATGACTAATTGGCTGCTGATAGGGGGCATACATGTTTTACAAACATATCTTGTTTGATTTTTAGTTTTTACTGTGATACAGGTTAATTCAGGCCAGAATTAAAAATATGTTTGTTTGCTGTCTCCCTACCTACCCATAAAAAACAGGCCTGCCCAAAAGTTTTTATTGCCTCCTGAGCAAGAAAGTTTTTATTGATTATCCCCACTCATTCAACTCACATAAACCAACCAGTTTGTTAACAGAATAGTACTTTGATATGGAAAACAGAAGAAAGAAAATATAAATCAGAAGGTTTAAACACTGTTTATAGCATTTTACTTTCTCATGAGAAATATAAGGATAACTATGTACAATTTTTAGAATAAAAAATATTCTGCCTACCTACCTACCCAAACTCACAAAGCAAGATCGGGAGACAGCAAACAAGGAATATTTTAAATTTGGCCTCACATAAAAATTATATATTTCTTTACCAAAGATATCTTTGATTTTCATGCATGTACATAATTTTTAAGTCAGATTTTTTTGTTTGTTTTCTAGGTAATGTACAGGACGTATTATGTGCAGCCAACCATATCCAGTTAATGCCAGTTGTAGAGGCATGTGTAAACTTTCTGAAATCCCATATTGTGTTGTCCAACTGTGTTGACATGCTCAATATTGCAGAGTTATTCACCCTCCATGATCTTACACAATATGTCTACAAGTATTTGTCGAAAAATATCTCCTCACTTGGAATGACAGCTGAGTTTTACAAACTGTCAGACAGCCAATTAGAAAACTTGTTACATTTGAATTACCCTGTAGACTGTGCAGAGAGTGATGTATTGTCTGCTGTGATTGGATGGCTTGTTGAACATTATGGGCACAGTCCTGATATAGCAGCAAAATACTTGTCCATGATTAACTTTAGTAGTATGACTATGGAAGATGTAAGAGGTATACCAAACATCTCAGATCTTGATAAAATGCTTGAAAGTGAATTAGATTGTTCCAAGCTGAAAAACTTGCTTGCAGACGTACCAAATACATCTGCATTGGTTCCAGGCTTGATAAATTTTAGAGGATACGAAGAATCTGTGATAGTATGTGGTGGTTTCCGGCCTGGTAAAGGAATGAACAACAATATTGAAAGCTATGACATAACCACGGGAAAGATGCAATATTTGACACATGTACCTCATGTGGATCAGTGCAATTCTGGTATTACTGTTACTAAAAATAAACTGTATGTGATTGGTGGCTGTTATAATGATGACCACATGGAAGAATTCATTCATGGGTATGGATTTTGTTTTGACCCAGCAAAAGATAAATGGGAAATAATTGCACCAATGCTGATGGAGAGGTGCAGGTTTTATTTGGGATCAGTTCAAGACAAGCTCTATGCCATTGGTGGCGATCCTTCTGCTTCAACTGGCACAGCAGAATTTGCTCAATGTGAGTGCTATGACCTTGAATCTAAGAGATGGCAATCAATTGCTCCGTTGCCAGGTAACAGAATGGAGCATGCTGGGACGGTATTGGACAGCAATATTTATATATCAGGTGGCTTACAGGATCAGGAAGGTCCAGTTTTTAATACTTTTTTCAAGTATGATACAAGTTCAGACTTATGGATGCAGCTTCCAGCCATGCCGTCTGCGCGGGCAGACCACAGTATGTTCAGTTATTCTGGGAAAATCTACGTGATCGGAGGATGGTATGACGATGATTTGTCACATCAGAGAATCATGGCCTCGACCATTGATTGTTTTGATTTTAACAAAGGAAGATGGGAGACGATTGCTGATGTACCTTCTCCAAGGTTATTTGCAACCTACACATTGAAGCAAGGGAAAGTTATTATCATGGGCGGTTGGTTGAATGGCGACTGTCAGAGAAAGTGTAGTCAGGTGGACATATTTGACATTGAAACTCTAACATGGGTTGATGAAACAAACAGAAATCAGCAAAACACGTGTGATACTCAAGAAATCTGGGAACATGCATGTTGTACAATGTATGTTCCAACTTGTGCAATAACTGATAAGTTAAAGTGATAATCTGTGCTTACAAACCTTATGCAATATATATAAAGTGCTCACTGCCTGCTCACAATTATACTTTTACTCCAGCAAATCAAAGTTTTTACAAGCTTGTTAAAATTATGATGTCATTGTTTTCAAACTTTACACATTGTACAAAATTATTGTATGTTTGAAGTTTTTTTTTCTTATTTAAAAATGAATACAAAATCTTTTTACATGTAAGTAATTAACATCTGTGATTTTACCTAGATTTCTGCTAAATCTGACTTTTTAAATATCAAATTGAATGTTACTTTATAGCCTTTTATGTTAGTTTGATATTATTAACACATTTATTAAAAATACAACTGTACATTTGTTTAAATTCAGTTTTTGAAGCATTTTTTTTTTGTATCTGAATCCAATTTCTATCTCTATAATCACTCAAGATACATGACACATTTGAAATCTCATACATGTCTTTATGGTCACTGACAAAGACCCATATTTTAAACCTGGACTTTCACTGAATTATTCCCCTTGAGAAAATTCATGGATGGTTCATGTTTTTTTTATTAAGATCTGATTTTTATATAAGCCTTGTTTGTTGATTTCAGTTTTTACATGTTTTACATGTTTATAGTATTTTATCATGTATGTATTGATTTTGAAATCCACATTTTAGCTTTTAAGTTATTGACCAAGTAGATCTATTTTTTAAAATTTTATAATTTGACAAACAACTTCTAGAAAATGTATTAATTTATTTATATTAAACATTGGTAGCTTAAGAAGAAAAAGTGAGTTTTACCAATATGTCTACAATTATAAAGCATATAACTCCTTATCCACTAACTAGTCATGATTTCTTTATCTTAACCCTGCTGGAACCAAAAGCCACTGTCCCCAGTTTATAGCCAGGTCAGCCTGCACATCCATGCATACTTATCTGCCTCTATATTGTTGGCTGCCTAACTGATAGAAGCACACCTTAAGATTTATGCTAATTTTCATGAAAATTTTGAAAATTTATTTTAAAAGTATAATATTGTGAAGTAACCAAAAGGAAGCAATTATCAATGGCATTTGCAACCCACGTAAAATACCAAAAAGATGCCAAAATATGCCAAAAAAACCTACTAACTGTGTTAATAACGCATTAGAAATATCGTTATATACACTGAAAAAAACAACAACAAAAAACATAACAGTCATAAATCACACATAACAACGTAACATGTATATTATTACTTGAATCTTGAATCTTTTTACTTTTCCTAAAATCTTCGTACAATTTTATGAAGTTTAATTTTATTGAAATATTTTTGGCTCATCTGGAGGCACATAGCTTTAAAATTCCCTTTATTGATAAAGGACATTTCCAAAAGTGGAACCCGGACAAGTTCATTTGAGAATTTCAGCATGGTAATGGTTAAAGCATATTTAACTTAATGCAATGATAATTTTATATCACTGTATTTAATACAATCTACACTGATGCTGATATAAAGACAACTGTTGTTTTTGTCTATTGTCTATGCATTCTGAAAGTTCATAAAACCACTGCCATCACTCAGAGACTGTACAAAAACTTATCAAGGGCTTCGTGCAGGGTTGTAACTCGTATTAAATAAAGGAGTTACGACCCTTTCACACAAAGCTGTCAATATGTAACATTTTTATGTAGCAATTGTAACAATGAATCCATGATAAAGTGTAGGTGTAATATGTTGTAACTTGTAATATTCCCAAATCATTGTTTTGTAAACATTGTGAGTTTTGTAATGAAGTACTCTGTTATAGTTAAGACTGATGATATTTATTATTTTGGGAAATATGATTTGTTTTCTCTAAATATCATTTACATGAGAATATTTATTGATAATTATGTGTAAAATGTGAATTGTCTTTGATGTTGTTTGGATATTTCAGATGAAGGTACAAACTTATTTTGGTATATTACAAATCATGTTGTGCTTATTTGCTTTGCCTTTGTTTATTTAGTTAAAGAGACATTTAGTATGTAATAGTAAAACATATAATTTTGTGACTGGTGCAAAAGGTTGTAAGTTGTCTGACATAAAAAACAAATATAACACTATGTCCTTGAAATTTTTTGCTCAGCTTGCATAGATGTGAAGGCTTGCTGACCTCTATACTTGTGGTATATAAGGCCTTACAAAATTTCAGCTTATATTTTGAGAGATAAAACATGGGTTCATTAACGAGGTGTGTCAAGTGATGAACATTTGAATCACACATAAACTGTTTGTTATACACTTAAATATTTATGAAGGATATAGATTTCCTGTCATATCTCTGACCCTGATGATATATAATATTTACAAATGATTACATTCAAATATATTGTTTGCTACCAAACCTGCTTTAATGATATTGATGGTGGCTAAGGACAGAATTTGATATTTAGTTATTTACACTTCTGAAATAACTTTCATTTCTTTTTATGTGTAAAATCATAATTGTTGAAATAGTTCAGTTTAAAAAGTACCCATTTGAATCAAGATACATGTACTTTAATTCTTATCAACAGAATTTTGTCATATTGTAATTTTTAGCTCACCTGACCACGAAGTGGTCAAGGTGAGGTATAGTGATGGGGCTATGTCCGTCGTCTGTCGTCGTGCATCGTCAACAATTGGGTTGTTAACAGTCTAGCAGTCACAGTTTTGATTGGATCATCATCAAACTTTGTCAGAATGTTTGTCTCAATGAAATAACAGATCAGAGTTCGAAGATGGGTTTATCATCGGGTCAAAAACTAGGTCACAGGAGCTAAAAATGGAAAAAGCTTGTTAACACTCTAGAGGCTGCAGTTTTCATCCAAATATTCTGGAAATTTGTCAGGAAGGTTGTTTTAATGATTTTTAGTTCAGGTTCGAAGATGGGTCATCTCCGGTCAAAAACTAGGTCACAGGAGCTAAAAATAGAAAAAGCTTGTTAACACTCTAGAGGCTGCAGTTTTCATCCAAATATTCTGGAAATTGGTCAGGAAGGTTGTTTAGATGATATCTATGTCAAGTTCGAAGATGGGTCATGTCCGGTCAAAAACTAGGTCACAGGAGCTAAAAATAGAAAAAGCTTGTTAACACTCTAGTGGCTGCAGTTTTCATCCAAATATTCTGGAAATTTGTCAGAAGGTTGTTTTGATGATATCTAGGTCAAGTTCGAAGATGGGTCATCTCCGGTCAAAAACAAGGTCACAGGAGCTAAAAATAGAAAAAGCTTGTTAACACTCTAGGGGCTGCAGTTTTCATCCAAATATTCTTGAAATTGGTCAGGAAGGTTGTTTAGATGATCTTTAGTTTAGTTCGAAGATGAGTCATCTCCAGTCAAAAAACTAGGTCACAGGAGCTAAAAATAGAAAAAGCTTGTTAACACTCTAGTGGCTGCAGTTTTCATCCAAATATTCTGGAAATTTGTCAGGAAGGTTGTTTTGATTATATCTAGGTCAAGTTCGAAGATTGGTCATCTCCGGTCAAAAACTAGGTCAACAGGAGCTAAAAATAGAAAAAGCTTTGTTAACATTCTAGTGGCTGCAGTTTTCATCTAAATATTCTGGAAAATTTGTCAAGAAGGTTTTTTGATGATATCTAAGTCAAGTTTGAAGATGGGTCATCTCCGGTCAAAAACTAGGTCACAGGAGCTAAAAATAGAAAAGCTTGTTAACACATTAGGGGCTGCAGTTTTCATCAAAATATTCTGGAAATTTGTCAGGAAGGTTGTTTTGATGATTTTTAGGTCAAGTTTCGAAGATGGGTCATCTCCGGTCAAAAACTAGGTCACAGGAGCTAAAAATAGAAAAAGCTTGTTTACACTCTAGTGGCTGCAGTATTGATTAAAATATTCTGGAAATTGGTCAGGAAGGTTGTTTTGATGATTTCTGGTCAAGTTTCAAAGATGGGTCATCTCAGTTCAAAAGCTAGGTCACAGGAGCTAAAAATAGAAAAAGCTTGTTTTAACACTCTAGTGGCTGCAGTTTTGATTCCAAATATTCTGGAAATTTGTAAAAGGAAGGTTTTAGATGTTTTTCTGGGTCAAGTGCTAAGATTGGTCATGTCCGCGTCAAAAACTGGGTCACAGGAGCTAAAAATAAAGAAAAATCTTTTTAAACACTCTAGTGCTGCAGTTTTGATTCCAAAATTTCCTGGAAAAATTGGGTCAGGAAGGTTGTTTTATGATTTCCCTAGGTCAAGTTTGAATATGGGTTCGTTGGTCCGGTCGAAAATGAGTCCACATTGCCCAAATAGTGGAAAAGTCTTTATAACACACCTAAGCGTCACATGTTTGAACTCAGTTGGTCATTAAAACTTGGGCCATGATGCTTGGGGTTAAAGACATTGCTTGGATGCGGTTTGTCAGGTGAGCGATCAAGGGGCCATCATTGGCCCTTTTGTTAATTTACTTTTTTTTTAAGAAAAAATTTTTGATGGTTTTGCTGCAGTTTGTTCCGTTCCTGTTGCTATACAAAATATTAACATTTGCTATAAAATCTTTATTGTCCCCCGCCTTTTCCAAGAAAAAAGGGGGTATAAAATAGGTCCATCCTTTCCGGGGTCCAAAACTTTCCTGCCGGGTCCTAATTTTTTCATTTAAAAAAGGGAAAATCGAAAAAACCCTTGGCACAAAAATGTTGTTATAAAAAGACGATGGATATGGTCATGCGCAACAACCGGCCCCCTTACCTCCAGGGGTCAAGGTCGCACTTGCTCATTTAAGCGTCCAACATTGTGTCTATTTTGAGGGGTGTATGTCGTGTCCGGTCCATAACTTTCTTATCTTTTTAAGGGATTTTTTGTAAATATTTGCTACAGTTTTCACATAATGAGACATGTGTTCATGCCCAAAAAAACCGGTCACCTACCTCCAAGGTCAAGGTCACACTTAGAGGTCAAAGATTAACATAGTCTGTTATAGGGTAAATTTTGTGGTGTTGGCTGCTTTCATAAACTTTTTCATAGATCAAAGGATTTTGTAAATACTTGCTACAAAATAGTCCACTATAATAATAAGACGTGTGTCATAGCGCAAACAACCAGACCCCTATCTCCAGGGTCAAGGTCGCACTTGCTCATTCTCAAGGTCAACATTGTCTATTTTGAGGGTAAATGTTGTGTTCCGGTCCATAACTTTCTTATCTTTGAAGGGGATTTTTTGTAAATACTTGGTACAAATTGTTCACAATAATGAGACGATGTGTCATGCACAAACCGGTCACCTACCTCCAAGGTCAAGGTCACACTTAGAGGTCAAAGATTAACATAGTATGTTATAGGGTATATTTTTGTGAGACATTTGTCTGAAATATTTTGATCTAATAAATCGATTGGTAACACTTTCAAACCAATAAAAAAAGTTTTCATGTATTACTTTGATAAACTATATTGCTATTTCGCGTAATGTACATGTATCTTAGCAGGACCGGAAAGCACTCGATATATCTATTTTCCTAAATACTCGTAATAATTTATCAATATATATTTATAAAAATGACTTGTCTGAAAGATTTTTGATCTAATAAATCGATTGTAACACTTTCAAACCGATAAAATAAAAAAGTATTCCATATGTTTTTATGAGAAATTTGAGTGCTATCCGGTTTTTCGGTGCTATCCGGTGCTTTCCGGTTTTTCTATGACAGTGTAGCGGACTAGCAGTGTGAACAGAGCGTGCTGGCGGACCAGCAGGCTTAACTTTAATACTTAATTGAATCAACATGAAAACGTTATGATACATTTCCTAACAGTGTGAAGTAGGCGGGCTAACAGTCTAGCGGGCTAGCAGTGTGAACTGAGCAGACTGGCGGGATAAACTTTAATACTTAATTGATCAACATAAAAACGTTATGATACATTTCCTTGCAGTGTGAATTGGGCGGGCTAACAGTCTAGCGGGCTAGCAGTGTGAACTGAGCAGACTGGCGGGATAAACTTTAATACTTAATTGAATCCACATAAAAACGTTATGATATATTTCCTAGCAGTGTGAAGTGGGCGGCTAACAGTGTAGCGGGCTAGCTGTGTGAACTGGGCGGGCCAGCGAGCTCAACCTTAATACTTAACTGAATCCACAATAAAACGTCATGATACATTTCCAAGCAGTTTGAAGTGGAAGGGCGGGCTGACAGTGTAGCGGGCTAGCAGTGTGAACTGGGCGGGCTGCTGGGCCAGCGGTCTTTATTTTAATAATTGTATCAACATGAAAACGTTATGATACATTTTTTTAGAAGTGTGAACTGGGAGAGCTGGCGGGTTCATGATTCATTAACTGAAGGCGGCGTTTTATTCATCATGGCAAAGAAACAGTCACAGTAATGGCTTTACAAAAGAATTAAAAGCAAAACCTTTGTACTCGAGCCAACCTGTGGTTAACTGGTTAATATACTGGACTCTTAGTCCAGGGGCCAAGATTTTTCTGGGGTCACTCCTGTCATATCTTCCGTATGAAACCTAAAACAATGGTCTCAAACAACCAGGGATGATTATGGAACTGGCATATTCTGTTTTAATAGGAAAATCTAGACATTTTTAAACTTAGAGTGCTAATCCTGGCAGACTGAAACAAACTACGGACATTAACACTTAATTTAAGTGCTTTGACCGAGTATACTCAGCCTTTGCGAACATCGTAGATCCACATCAGTCGGTGCGCATTCGCGCCGTCTGCCAAGAATCTACACTGTTTACTGCCCAACCACTTGGTATGATACTAGTGTCCAGGCACC